CACTTTTCTGAGAGCATATACAGAATAGGGTTCATACAGCAGTGAGAATGAGCAAGTACACAACACATAATAAAGGCTATAATCACACGGTTCAATGCATAACAGTTTTTAGGTTCATTGATTATATCCAAAATCATGTACGGTACCCAGCAGATGATGAAGGCAGCAACTATACATAACACCACCACTACTGTCCTGCGCTTTCTTCTGTTTGAAGCCTGCAACACTGTCTTGAGGATGGCAGAGTAGCAGAAAACAATGATGGATAACAGGAAGAAGAAGAGCACAGACATTGCAAGGTTAAAATCATAGTCCACATGATATGAACACCCCGAATGACCACGCCAGTCTTCCACCGTGACTCTAGTAGCAACATGTATAGAAACAGAAATGCTGATGATCCATGCAGCTGCACAGCTCAATGCTGCAAACCTCTGCCTCCTTACTTTGTTTCTTGGCATGTTGTGCAGCACCACAGTTATGAAACGGTCCACAGTCATGGCAGTCAGTAGAATGACGCTACTGTACAAACCAACAATCTCTGTCACAGTCACAAATGTGCAGGCAAAATAACCAAAGACCCACTCCTGCAGCAGAGAGATGGCCCAGAATGGAAGTGTGACTGTGATCATCAAATCGGAGCAGGCAAGGTTCAGGACAAATAGATTTGTGACATTTTTTAAGTTCTCATAGAGAAAGAGGACATATACATTACGGGGAGGAAGTTTCCTATGATACTGAGGATGAAGATCAAAATGCATGAGGCACCTCTAAAAGTTTCCATGACAAACACCCTCTTACAGTCTTCATAGCTGTAGTCTTCATATTTGAAGTTCACTGTGGAGTTGCTGAATGCCATTGTACGCTGTTTTCTGGGAAACATAAGCAGAAAAATGTAATTGGCAAATTGAGCAGATGTCTTTAACCTTCAGTAAAATGTAGTTTTAAAAAGTAATTCTTGGAAAAACAGAACAATATGGAAAACAATTATATAGTTAGAACATCACCATTAAATATGGAAAGCAATTAAAGTAAATAATAAGCAACTTACCCTGAACAACTACTGTCACTTCATGTGGTGAGTTTCACAGTGACGGAGAAGTTGTTCAATAAAAGAGGAAACTAAGAAGCTCCTCCTTTGGCTTCACATTAATCAGAGGTGATGCATCATCATTCCAGTTTAAGAATGGACATATAGATTTCCTAAAAATGGTGACATGTGTTCTACTTTTATAACATTATCTAAGAGCAGGAAATAGACACTCCAGAAATATGTGTTGCTCTATTTTATTGTAAAGCATGAAAGTGATAATGATATTATTATCAAAGAAAAATACACATTTCTGTTACAAATTCAACATTGTTCAAAATAAAACATTTTACTTTTGTGATTGCAAGAATCTTAAAGGTAGGGTAGGTAAGTTTGAGAAACCGGCTCGAGATACACTTTTTGTTATATTCCATGGAATGCTCTTAACATCCCGATAGCAATGAATATCTTAAGTGCTTTGACAAAAAATCCATAAAAAAATGTCATCTGTGGAAGCCGTAATACTGTAAAAAGTACGACCAATCATTTTAGCCGGCCCGGCTAAAATAACTGGATGGCCTACCTGCCTGTCAGCCTTCCATCTGTGCACAAACTTATCTTATGATATAACATTTAGAAAATAAATGATGTTCTGTTTTGTTTGCAAGACTCCTAAAGGTGACAATATAACAACTACAGTAACAACTGAGATAGATGATTTAATATGAAACCATTAAGTAAAATGCAGTGAAGAAGTGTTTCACATATTATCTACAGTACAATGCATAATCAATGTATCAACATGAATTTGAAATCACATGAATAGATACCAACTGATACAGAGCTGATTTTGTTTTTTAAGCACAAAACTTGGAAATTAAAAGGGGACATAAATGGAATTGGTTTACATGTTTGATTAAATAATGTACATCACATATCATTTTTAGAACCAGTTTTAGAACCAACGCATTTTTAGAACCATCTTACAAAGCTAATGAAGCTAAATAAACTCTCATGTGTCACCCTGTCCCAAATCTAGGATAGCAAATTAAAAAAAGAATACTGAGAAAGCGTAAACTGACAAGTTAGGTCTACATTTATAGAGACTTACTTTAAAGTAGTCCCCTTAATATCTTTAAGGAAATGTGAACACTATAGGTTAAACTAGTTCAAAACAAATATTATACTAAGTATTAATGGATGTTTTCATTTTAGCGATGAATGTCTAGCTGCAGGTTGGTTCCAACACAACAGCAGAGCTTTGTGCTTTAAAAGCTACGTTCTGCTTAACAGAAGAGCCAGTGGTTCTCTTTCTGTCTCTCACCCTCCTGACTTTCTTGCAGCTAAAAAGATCCAAAAGATGCTTTCGCCACTTTTCTGATGCGGCTTTCACACCAGCGCTTTTCCCTTTCTAGCTCCTAGCTAGAGCTTTTCTGGTTCAGCTCCGGTTTCCCTTTTCAGCTCCCGCTCTGTTCACACCGCCCAGAGCTGCCGCTGCTGTGTCATAACGTCACCGTTTACATCGCTGATTTTCTCTCCAACGGAGCTCACAACAACAACAACAACGGGTCGATGATCGTGTTGCTTTTAATCATACGAAGCCAGATTAAATTAAATAACGACTTATCCAACCTTATACTTTTCTCCAGAGTGCCGTGGTTCATTGTTTATTAATGTGTTTCAGCGGCATTTACCGACCGCTGCAGTGCTGGCTGCTCTTCCACGGGAGTTTATTCTCCCGTTAGCTCCGGGTTAGCTCACACGGCTCTAAAGGTATTCACTGTCTGACTGTCACACAAGCAGCTGATACATATCCCCAGTTCCCCTTAAGTGAATGTGTGTCAGTTTGAATTGACGCTGTTTGGCATCACAACACTGTTATGAAAGTTTCTCTGGTATAACATGGGTGATGTTAGCAGAGCAACCAAAGCTAAACTGACTACTTGCTAAGCCGTGTTCTACAGGCACATTTTACCGGCGTATTTTTCATTATGATTCTACTTGTGATAGTCGGACATGACAACCTGTGCAGCCCATGTATTGATTCCATCCGATAGCTGCTATAATAACAAACAAAACGTCTGCCTGCTCTCCACAATGATCAATAACAGCGAACGGATGGTCAAAGTAAGGTACAAATAAACAGAATCACACGAAGCCTGGTTAGTGTTGCCTGACTTTATAAAGTGTGTTTTTTTTTATAAGTGTGTGGTTGCCTTCTAGTCACTTTGCTCAGCGCTACTGCTTGTAGGCAGGCATGACGAGACTCTTCAGTCGACCCATGTTCAGGGGAGGTGGGTTTAGTTTCCTGCACGCCTCGACGTAAGAGAGACGTAAGCGACGCCGCCTCTAGCTCCGAAGCTCTTGCCTCTAGTCTAGACCGACAATTTTTTGGAGCTGGAAGTGAACCGCATTCCGGAGCTATGAGGCGGTGCCACTGCGGTGTGAACAGGAAAAACCGGTACTTTTCAGGCTCCAGCTCCGAGCCGGAGCTGAAAAAGCGCCGGTGTGAAAGGGCAACACAGTCTCACGGCATTTCGTGTTATAGTCACGAAATTAATCTATTGATTCGTGTTCACCAACACGATTTCGCCATTTTTTTCGTGTCACACAGAACGATTTTAGAAGCAATGTATTTATATTGGTAGTATGTTTCGTGCCTGCACCAAATAATAACAAATTAGAAGGAAAAAAAGATGACATAAAATACAGATTTCAGTATTCTGAGGCTCTGAGCCCCATTTATTTTCCTCACTGACGGCAAAAAAACTCAGACATTATACAATTTAAAATAAAAGGGATAGGGTTAGGCTTAGGGTAAGATATTGAGTAAGAAAATGTTTTTATGAACCACACAGCTTCTGGTCTTCCAAGACCCGACCGGACAAAAAGACGTGTTGCAGGCACAAAACATACTACCAATAGAAATACATTGCTTTTAAAATCGTTCTGTGTGACACGAAAAAAATCGTGTTGGTGAACACGAATCAATAGATTAAATTAATTTTGTGACTAATAACACGAAATGCCGTGAGACTGGGTTGGAAAGGGGCATCAGTCTCTCACCCTCCTCACTTTCTTGCAACAAAAAAGATCCAAAAGATGCTTTCGCCACTTTTCTGAGAGCATATACAGAATAGAGTTCATACAGCAGTGAGAAGAAGCCAGTACCAGACAAATACTAAAGGCAATATTCACACGTTTCAATGCATAACAGTTATTAGGTTCATAGAAGGACACGATTATATAGATAATATTGTAAGGTACCCAGCAGATGATGAAGGCAGCAACTATACATAACACCACCACTACTGTCCTGCGCTTTCTTCTGTTTGAAGCCTGCAACACTGTCTTGAGGATGGCAGAATAGCAGAAAACAATGATGGATAACAGGAAGAAGAAGAGCACAGACACTGTAAGATCAAATGCAAAGTCCACATGATATGAACACACCGAACGACCACCCCTCTCTTTCACCGTGACTCTAGTAGCAACATGTATAGAAAAAGAAATGCTGATGATCCATGCAGCTGCACAGCTCAATGCTGCAAACCTCTGCCTCCTTACTTTGTTTCTTGGCATGTTGTGCAGCACCACAGTTATGAAACGGTCCACAGTCATGGCAGTCAGTAGAATGACGCTACTGTACAAACCAACAATCTCTGTCACAGCCACAAATGTGCAGGCAAAATGACCAAAGACCCACTCCTGCAGCTGATAGATGGCCCAGAATGGAAGTGTGACTGTGATCATCAAATCGGAGCAGGCAAGGTTCAGGACAAATAGATTTGTGACATTTTTTAAGTTCTCATAGAGAAAGAGGACATATAAGAGGAGGCAGTTTCCTATGATACTGAGGATGAAGATCAAAATGTATGAGTAGATTTCAAAAGTTTTCAAGTCAAACATTATCTCACAGTCCTCGAACATGTAGTCTTCAGAGCTGTTCCAGTAGTCATCATATTCAAACATGTAGTCTTCATATTCGAAGTTCACTGTGGAGTTGTTGAATGCCATTGTAAGTTGTTTTCTGGGAAACATAAGCAGAAAAATGTAATTGGCAAATTGAGCAGATGTCTTTAACCTTCAGTAAAATGTAGTTTTAAAAAGTAATTCCTAGAAAAACAGATCAATATGGAAAGAACATCACCATTAAATATGGAAAGCAATTACAGTAAATATTAAACAACTTACCCTGTACAACGACTGTCACTTCATGTGGTGAGTTTCACTGTGACGGAGAAGTTGTTCAATAAAAGAGGAAACGGGGGGTTACGTATTGTAACCCTAGTTATATAAGCACAGGCGGAGCCCTCTACTGGACTCTATGGGTACTACCTTATCCCGCGTGCATTCTCCCACTGAGACTTCTATAGACGTAGCCGGCCCAGGGCGGGCCTACCTGAATGCGCGCGCATCACACCGTATAAAAGGAGGCCTCGCCTCCTGACTATCATCCTATACCTCTCTTCAGCGAGCGGAATAGAACAGACAGTGCCCTGAGTAGAGGGCTCCGCCTGTGCTTATATAACTAGGGTTACAATAAGTAACCCCCCGTTATATCTCTCACAGGCTCCGCCCTCTACTGGACTCTATGGGTACAGTGGGTGGAGCCCTGATGTATACGCGCACTGTCGTCCAACACCATTCCACCCTACTGCCCCTGACCGGCTTTTCTGGTCAGCAGCTGCTGCCCCACACTCTCCCTTAACCCGGTTGAGACCGAGGAGAAATCTGGGCTGCGGCTGACAGAGCACACCCTGCTGCGCTTACCTCGCAGAAAGTGTGCTCAAAAAACAGTGCCGGGGGACCCCCCCCCCCCTCGCCCATAGACGGATGGGGAGAGCCCCCTCGGCCCTGTATGGGCTTACTACGCACCTGCCTTCCTGAATCCCTAAGGATAACAGGGAGAGCGCCAGCGCCCATGCCTCACACTTAAGCACTGACCCCGTGCAGAGTGTGAGAGGACAGCCCCTCCGCCCCGTAACGGGCCAGCGCGCCCCTTGCCTATCCCGGGACCCTCAGAGGGCCCAGGAAAGGCGCATCACGTCCGGGGAGGGGGTCAGATGCCAACTGACCCACAACCCCCCCCCCTACAAATCCTGTGTTGCCCCAGCAAGCACAGACGAGGAGAAAGAGCCAGACATGTCCAAGAGATAAAACCTTATAAAGGGGCCTGGCGTCGACCAAGACGTCGCTGTGCATATATCCTCCACACTGTTGTATAAGGCTGTTGACACAGCTACAGCCTGTGCGGAGTGCGCACGAATCCCCGTGGGGCAGGCTCTCTCTGCCTGTCCGTAGGCATGTGCAATGCACTCGCAGAGCCAGCCTGCCAGGCGTTTCTTGGACAGATCTTTCCCGATCACCCCGCCCCCGAAGCACGCGAACAGCTGTTCGGTGCGTCTAAGGGCAGCCGTGAGCTCCACATAACATGCTAGCGCACGCACCGGGCAGAGGAGGTGCAGTTTAGCCTCCCTGGCCCCCCATGGGGGGGAGACTAAAACCCCCTAACTGAATAGCCCTCGACCTGAACGCACTCCTTAGGTCCTTAGGCACAAAGGAGGGGTTCGGTCTAAGTGTCGCGCCGCTCCGGCCACCCCGAACTAGTAAGCAACTCGGGTGCACCGACAGAGCAGTTAACTCGGACACTCTTTTGGCTGAAGTTAAGGCAAGAAGCAAAGCTGTTTTTCACGACAATGCTTTCAGAGGGGAGAGCTCCAGAGGCTCAATGGTCCCGAGGCCAGAGCCTCGAGCACTAGGGGCAGGTCCCACTGCGGGGTGGAGATGTGCACTACAGGGCGCAGTCTCCTAACCCCCTGTAAAAACCGCGACATCAGTGGTTGATTAAAGGCTGACCTGCCACCAAAATCCTTCATGATAGGACGAGATGGCTGCTGCATACACTTTCACTGTGAAATGCGCCAGCCCTCTGTCCACCAGTAAGTGTAAGAAGGATAAAATAGAGCCCAACTCACAAGATAGGGGCTCTATTCCCCGCTCCTCACACCAATGCTGGAATCTCAGCCACTTTGGCCTGTAACAGGCTGTGGTGGATTCTGCTCTAGCTGCCTGGATAGACTGAATAACGCTGTCAGACAATCCACCCTGTCTCAGCCTGTCCCTCTCAGGAGCCAAGCCTGAAGAGGATGGCCCAGAGTGGGTAACGCCCCGATTGCACCTGCCCCTTGAGACATCGCCCCCCAGAACTGGGGGATCGCCCAGGGCTGGCCCACCTTCATCTGTGTCATTTCTGAGTACCACGGAGCCCTGACGCGATTCGGTGCTACCGGAATGACTGCCAGACGTTCTCGCCTCACTCTCCCCAGGAGAGGGAGAATGAGACGCAGCGGTGGAAAGGCGTATAGCAGCTTCCTTGGCCATGGCTCGTGTGCAAACGCGTCCACCCCCAAGGGCGGGTCGTCGCTCAGGGCCATGGAGAACCACAGGGCACAGTGGCTGTTGCGCCGGCTGGCGAACAGGTCCACTTCTGCTCTCCCGAACTGGGCCCAGATCTGCTTCACCACCTCCGGGTGAAGCACTCGCCTGGCAGGGGGCCGCCCCTCGACCTGAGGTCGGCCCCTCTGTTCTCCAGTCCCGGGACATGGAGGGCTCTCAGAGATAACACCACCTCTGAGGCCCATCACCACAGCTCCTCCGCTGTGGTCAACAAGGAGGCGGAGCGGACTCCGCCCTGCCTGTTGATATAAGCCACTGTGGTGCTGTTGTCGCACCTGACCATTACATGTCTCCCCTGAATTAGGGGCATGAAATGCCGGAGGACTAACACTACTGCCCGTAGCTCTAGGAGGTTGCTGTGTCGAAACTCTGTCAGAGCCCAGCGCCCACCTATAGCTCTCTTCAGGCAGGTCCCTCCCCATCCTGTTCCGGACGCCTCCATGAACACTGTGATGTAGGAGGTCACCCGTCCCAGTGGAGACCCCCTCCGGAGGTGGTCCGGAGACCCACAAAACCGGAGGTTGCCCCCACTGAGGGGGGAGGGATGGTCACCAGCCGTCGTTTGTGCCTCCAAACGCAGGCTGGGGAACCACCTCTGCAGGCGGCGCATATGTAGTAACCGGCGGGACCACCATGTGAGCAGCCGCCATGAGACCCAGAGTCTGCATGACAGTTAAAGCTGTCAATGTTGCCCCCTGTCGCAGCCTGTGCACCGCCCTGAGACGGGGCGCACGTCTGCTCTCTGACAGGGTGGCACGCAGCGCGTCTGCATCGAGCACCACATCCAAATACAACGCCTGTTGGCGAGGTATGGGGGTGCTCTTTCTTTCCCATCGATCGCAAAACCTAATTTGGTTAGGTGTGTGATCAATTGTGCTGTGCAAAACATTGCCTGTTCCCGGGACCCAGCCATGACTATGAGGTCGTCTATGTAAAAGAAAACTCTCATGCCGTGTGCTCGCAGCGGTTGAGGCGCTGTGGCCACACATTTGCTGAATGTGCGTGGGGATAGGGAATAACCGAACGGCAGCCTGTTGTATTCGTAGGCTATTCCCTGGAAGGCAAAACGCAGATACTTTCTGTGCTCTGGAACAATTTCCACATGAAAGTACGCGTCTTTCAGGTCGATGGTGGTGAACCAATCACCTGGCTGCACAAGCCCTAGTAACTGTTTCACAGTTAACATGCGGAATTTCCTGCTGGAAATATGACGATTCAGGCCCCGGAGATCTAGAATAGGTCTGAATCCCCCTGTTTTCTTGAGAACCAGGAAATACATGGAATAAAGACCTTTCTCTCTGTGCTGAGGATGCACAACAGACACAGCCTGTTTCTGCACCAGAGCCTGAATCTCTGCTGAGACGAAACCCATCTCCTCCTGGGAAGACAGATTTACCTCTCGCATGCCCATAAAAGGAGGTGGGATGCTGCAAAACTGGAGTGAATAGCCCCGTTTCAGCGTCCTGTCCATCCACCTTGTCAGTACACAGCTGAGTTTCCACGACACGGACACGGGGGCTCCGAGGAGATCCTCTCGGTCCTTTTTAGATAGGGCAGTGAGTCCTAGCCACACGTGAGGAGACGCCACTGTGGCTAGGGAAATCACCCGCCCTGCTGCGGCGGCCACGCCACAAATCAGATTATTCATCTGACCCACAGCGCGGTCCGAATAACCGCTCTCGTCCTGAGGCGAGAGGGCGGGGGCGTCTGCCTGAGGGGTGATCAGGGAGACGCCCAAAACGCCAAGATTATTGGCCGCAGCCGCCATCTGCGTACCGAGCTTGAACATCTTATCCAGATATTACAAGGTATCTCGGTCCCGGGCAGCAGGGGCAGAGGACGTATGCCCTCCGCCCAACCAGCCGCCCGCGGAAGCAGATGGGCCGCCAGGCTCACATCGAGGGGGGGCACACCTGGACATGTCGTGTCCAAGCGATCCACCACCTTAATGATATCCGCCATGGCGGCTGCCGGGGCCTTCGTTTTTAATGGCTGCTGCCATGTCGCCTCCACACACCGCCATACCTCTGGCAGCTGGGGCGAAACGAAGGTCGGCTGCACCGGATACACCGGGCCATAAACCCCCGCTCTCAGGCGGTTTACAGGCCTCGGTGGCAGCGGTGAGGGGAGCGGTAAGCCTACATGCTCCACCACCAGAGTCATCACCGCCGGGAAATCCCTCCGCGCAGACCTGAGAGCTGGACCTCCGGTCAGCGAGGCGTCCTCCTCGTCCTCCATCGGAACCGAGCCCGCCTGGTCCCATGGAAGAGAGGACCGGAACGACGTCCCCTCCCTCCCGAATCGCCCACGTTCACGACGTCGAGCTCCCGATCCTCCGACTCCTGCGGGGTAGCCCTCGCCAGGGAGTGCTGCCCACGATGCTCCCGTATGAACCGCGGGATCATCTGGCAACCTGGGCATGCCGGCGTCGGGCCCATATTATCCACCGCGTGGTCAGGCCCCAAACACGCAGAAGGGGTGCGGATCAGCCCCTGCGATGAGATTCGGGCATTTCGGGCAGGTCCTGAGGTCAAGTCTTACTGACTCCATGCTCTCACACTTTCCCCTTTTTCTAACGTCTCAAGCTCGTGGAATCACTTCCGCTGCTGAAGAAAAAAAGGATGATAGTCAGGAGGCGAGGCCTCCTTTTATACGGTGTGATGCGCGCACATTCAGGTCCCGGGGCCGGCTACGTCTATAGAAGTCTCAGTGGGAGAATGCACGCGGGATAAGGTAGTACCCATAGAGTCCAGTAGAGGGCGGAGCCTGTGAGAGATATAACTAATGACGAAGCTCCTCCTTTGGTTTCCTCAAACTTTAGCATTTAAGTTACTGCCACCTTTCTGTCAGCTTGCACCACTTTATTCTCCTCTGACCTCTCTCAGTAATAAGAGAGCAAACTAATGAAGAAGCTCCTCCTTTGGTTTCATATTATTCAGAGGTCTTGCTTCATCATTCCAGTGAAGGCATGAATATGTTTAGATTAACCACAATTGGTGAGGTGTATATTGTTGATGTTCTGCTTTAGAACATAATCTTGAAGCAGCAGGAAGGAAGGCTACACCCCAGAAATATATTTTGATCAATTTTATTGTAGCATGGAAATAATAGTGATGATGATGATGAAATGTTCAAGCAAATATAAACACACATTTTTGACAAATTATATAACATTTTGAAAATAAATGATGTTCTGTTTTGTTTGCAAGACTCCTAAAGGTGACAATATAACAACTACAGTAACAACTGAGATAGATGATTTAATATGAAACCATTAAGTAAAATGCAGTGAAGAAGTGTTTCACATATTATCTACAGTACAATGCATAATCAATGTATCAACATGAATTTGAAAACACATGAATATTTACCAACTGATACAGAGCTGATTGTTTTTTTGTTTTTTCAAGCACAAAACTTGATTGGAAATTAAAAGGGGAAATAAATGGAATTGGTTTACATGTTTGAATAAGTAGTCATCACATATCATTTTTAGAACAATTTTTAGAACCATCTTACAAAGCTAATGAAGCTAAATAAACTCGCATGTGTCACCCTGTCCCAAATCTAGGATAGCAAATTAAAAATACTGAGAAAGCGTAAACTGACATGTTAGGTCTACATTTATAGAGACTTACATTAAAGTAGTCCCCTTAATATCTTTAAGGAAATGTGAACACTGTAGGTTAAACTAGTTCAAAACAAATATTATACCAAGTATTAATTGATGTTTTCATATTAGCGATGAATGTCTAGCTGCAGGTTGGTTCCAACACAACAGCAGAGCTTTGTGCTTTAAAAGCTACGTTCTGCTTAACACAAGAGCCAGTGGTTCTCTTCCTGTCTCTCACTCTCCTGACTTTCTTGCAGCTAAAAAGATCCAAAAGATGCTTTCGCCACTTTTCTGAGAGCATATACAGAATAGGGTTCATACAGCAGTGAGAAGAAGCAAGTACACGACAAATACTAAAGGCAATAATCACACAGTGCCTTGCATAACAGCTATTAGGTTTATAGAAGGACACGATTATATAGATAATATTGTAAGGTACCCAGCAGATGATGAAGGCAGCAACTATACATAACACCACCACTACTGTCCTGCGCTTTCTTCTGTTTGAAGCCTGCAACACTGTCTTGAGGATGGCAGAGTAGCAGAAAACAATGATGGATAACAGAAAGAAGAAGATCACAGACACTGTAAGAGTAAATGCAAAGTCCACATTAGATAAACACATGGAACGACCACCCCAGTCTTCCACCGTGACTCTAGTAGCAACATGTATAGAAACAGAAATGCTGATGGTCCATGCAGCTGCACAGCTCAATGCTGCAAACCTCTGCCTCCTTACTTTGTTTCTTGGCATGTTGTGCAGCACCACAGTTATGAAACGGTCCACAGTCATGGCAGTCAGTAGAATGGCACTACTGTAAAAACCAACAATCTCTGTCACTATCACAAATGTGCAGGCAAAATGACCTAAGACCCAGTCCTGCAGCCGATCGACGGCCCAGAATGGAAGTGTGACTGTGATCATCAAATCGGAGCAGGCAAGGTTCAGGACAAATATATTTGTGACATTTTTTAACTTCTCATAGAGAAAGAGGACATATAAGAGGAGGCAGTTTCCTATGATACTGAGGATGAAGATCAAAATGAATGAGGAGCCTTCAAAAGTTTTCAAGACAAGCAGCAACTCAAAGACTTCAGAGCAGTACATCATGTCGTCTTCATATCCGAACAAGTTGTTTTCTGGGAAACATAAGCAGAAAAATGTAATTGGCAAATTGAGCAGATGTCTTTAACCTTCAGTAAAATGTAGTTTTAAAAAGTAATTCGTAGAAAAACAGAACAATATGGAAAACAATGATATAGTTAGAACATCACCATTAAATATGGAAAGCAATTACAGTAAATATTAAGCAACTTACCCTGATCAACGACTGTCACTTCATGTGGTGAGTTTCACAGTGACGGAGAAGTTGTTCAATAAAAGAGGAAACTAATGAAGAAGCTCCTCCTTTGGTTTCACATTAATCAGAGGTGATGCATCATCATTCCAGTTTAAGAATGAATATATAGGTTTACAAAAAATTGTGACATGTGTTCTACTTTTATAACATTATCTAAGAGCAGGAAGGAGACACTCCAGAACTATTTGTTGCTCTATTTTATTGTAAAGCATGAAAGTGATAATGATATTATCAAAGAAAAAACACATTTCTGTTACAAATTCAACATTGTTCGAAATAAAACATTTTACTTTTGTAATTGCAATAATGTTAAAGGTGATGATATATACAACTGACATAAATTGTTTAATAGGGAAACATAAAGTAAAATGCAGTAAAACACAGTGTATCACATATTATCTGCAGTATAATGTAATCTATGATCAATGTTTCAATAAGAACTTGATTTCACATAAATATGATCAAAATGATACGGAGCTGATTGTCCTTTTGTAAAAGCACAGTTTGATTGGATATTAAATGTCACAACTGAAGTGGGCCAGTTGAAGTTAGAATTTAAATGTCACAACTGAAGTGGGCCAGTTGAATTTAGAATTTAAATGTCACAACTGAAGTGGGCCAGTTGAAGTTAGAATTTAAATGTCACAACTGAAGTAGGCCAGTTGAGGTTAGAATGTAAATGTCACAACTGAGGTGGGCCAGTTGAAGTTAGAATGTAATGTCATAACTGAAGTGGGCCAGTTGAATTCAGAATGTAAATGTCACAACTGAAGTGGGCCAGTTGAAGTTAGAATTTAAATGTCACAACTGAAGTAGGCCAGTTGAGGTTAGAATGTAAATGTCACAACTGAAGTGGGCCAGTTGAAGTTAGAATGTAATAGCCGCGTTCACACCGGAGTACTTTCACCGTACTTTTCGCGTTTTAGTTCCGTGAGTACCCCCTATGTCGCGTTCACACCAAAAATCGTACTTAATCTCGGGTACTTTTACCCCCATTTTTAGAGCCGGCTGAGAGAGCGTACTTTCCTGAGGGTGCAAAGTGCCCCAAAAGTGCCCCAGTGCTGATTGGCTGGGCGAATTGCAAACCACGCCCGTACAACTGTGAAAAATGTTGTGTGGAGACGCCATTGTTTTCCCTCGCTACAAAATCCCGACGGAGCGTTGGGTTTGTTTTTGAAAGCAGTTATGGCAAGCATCAAGAAATGATGAGGAGGTGTCGGCGCTTCTGGAGATCTACGCCGAGGACGCGACCCAGGGAATGCACTGAAGCCAGTTCAGTAGCTTTCACTCGACCTGGGAATGTGCACAGCCCCACGGCACACACCGGCTAAAAATAAAGAAACTCGGGCAGGACTACAAACGGCGGATTCAGTGGCCAACGATGACGACCACGACGAAGGTAAAATCAACTACATGCACTGGGGTTTTAATCTGCACAATAATGGTCTCAGATGTACTTTTATTTGCTCAGTAGATCAAGCTAGCCATGCTAGGCGGAATAGGCTAACACCGGCCCCGAGCTAGCTACATCTAGCTAGCTAGATATTCTCGGCTGTATGAAAACGTTTTGACTTGTGAATAACTGTGTAGTGTTTCTGTAATTTGCTTCACTAACTCATGGCACTAATCGTCTGTTTCAGGCGAGGATGGACAACTCTCGATTGGAAACAAGCGAGCTTTGCATTCTAGATCACAGCGCTAGCTCGCCCCCCTTACCAGCAACCAAACGCAAAGGTACACACACTGTAACTTTGTCTTGAAAGAACGTTACGCATCGAACTGATGTTCACAATCATGTTTATTTCCTTCTTGGTACAATTATGAAACAGCGTGAAAACGTATTCGCCAAGACCGGCATTTACAAATGTCTCACACAAACATTGTAAACATCAGGGCTAGAGGTCACATGACTTCCGGTACGAAAACTTGCCTCAACAAATTAAACAAAATTCAAGCATACATGAAGCACAATCCTCCGTGTTTGAACCTCTTAAATCGCTGCATAGCCGATTTATTTGGACTGGATTATCCCAGAGAGGCTAAACATTCTTTATAACACAGTTTGAGATTTGTGAAACCTTAATTCTATTTGTGAAAATACAAAAAAAGGGAGATTTCAGTGCTTTTTCGCATCCTGGCCACATTAGACCAGGTCTAAAACCACTATACCTAGACTCATCAAATCTGGACTGGATTATCCCAGAGAGGCTAAACATTCTTTATAACACAGTTTCAGATTTGTGAAACCTTAATTCTATTTGTGAAAATACCAAAAAAACATTCCTAGTATGTTGTAAAACTACATGGCGACTAAACAGATCTTGTATCTTGCTTATTTTCCCCTCATAGGAAAGCGGACACTGGGATGCGAATTTCTTTGACACCGCCCAGGCGTTGGAGGACCGGCGTGCCGTGGTGAAAGAGTCTATGCACGGGGATCAGATGGTGCTGTTCACCAAGGCCCAGGAAACGGAGGACAAGATGCTCACCAGTTCATTTTATATTATTGTTATTACTGTTATTATATAGTCTTGATACAACTGACACTTTATTTTATATTGATAATGTTAATTTACATGTACAACTTCTATTTTGTTTACATTAAAAATGTGAACTTCTATTTACTGTTAAACAGATCCGGTAGCTTGCTTATTTCTCCTGACACTTTATCTTTAGTGACCGTAGCATCCTATACATCACATGTAAGTGATTATTCTGATACCATCATGTTTCATCGGTTATAAACTGGCAAAGCTTTATTTGTCATTTATCATCAATGTTGCAACCTTGTGGAGGAATGGCAGGGGCACATACACAAATATGATAATTTATATAATTTTAAATATTATTTGACCTAAAACTAAATGTTTTTATGATTGTCCTCTGAGGAGGACATGGGGATTTGCAAACTTTTAATTCCCCCCCCCCATTTTACACAACACAAAATGGAGTCCACTATGGGCCGAAACTAACATGTATGTTTATGGCAGACGGATGCAGTGGGTCTCAGGAAGATAAATAATAACGGTGGGTTTGCTGCTGAGCTTATTTACTGTGCATACAACACACCTGGCACAGTTTATTGTTATTATATTGCCACACTGTACCCTATTGTAATGTTTCCTGTCTTGACTGGAAAATAAAAGGGAAACAAAATCACTGTACAAAAGATCATCTTTATTGTCAAAATGTTTACAATTGACACGCTGTTCAGATGCCTCATAAAGCTGGGTCGCCGGTAAGGCAGTCCATTCGTCCCTGTACTCATTACTTTCACAAAGGTTATGTAATATGCAACATGCTGCCACCTGGAATGTGATCTTGTCCATCTTGCAGTAGTTTCTTTTCATCAAGCACCGCCACCTGCCCTTCAGTCTGCCAAAAGCGTTCTCCACCACCACTCGTGCTCGGCTTGTTTTGTGATTGTACGCAAGTTGCTCAGGCTGCATTAACTCAGTTACAAAGCTGTGTAACATGAGCACAAACAGCACAACTTCAGTCGACTCCATCTCCATCATGTCTGAGGTCGGAAGGTAAACAACAGACGCCTAATGTACAGCGAGTGGGTGGGCGTCGCAGTATACGCGGGAAGTTTTTCTTCTTCTTCTCTTGTTTTGCAGCGGATTGCAAACAACTTTAAGGTGCATACCGCCACCTACTGTACTCGCCGTGAAGTGGTTTGTGGCCTGCCAGTAAAGCCAAAACAGAAGAAGAAGAAGAAGTGACGTCAGCGGCTCATTTGCGTAATCTTCCCTCAGGGAAAAGTACTCCGGTGTGAACGCGATCTGTACTAAGTGCCCTGGGGTTAAAAGCGCCGGGGCTCTTAGTGCCGGAACTAAGTACAGGAAAGTACTTGGTGTGAACGCGGCTATTGTCACAACTGAAGTGGGCCAGTTGAAGTTAGAATTTAATGTAAGAAACGTAAAACTGTGAATTGAGGTTTTATATTAGAAAAGGACCACAGCATTTAGTGCGTCGTCTGAATTGAAACAGCAATTAATTGAACCTGGTTCTTCAGGAGTTAGTAGAGGTGAGACCTTGCTGATCTAGGTGGATCCGAGCCTGGCAATAAACTTACATAGACTCAATAGCTTCTGTTAGGTCAATTAGTAGGTCTGAGTAATTGCCGGAATAAATTAACAGGCCTCCCGACTCCAACAAACCCATTGATCGATTTTGGTGATTGACACCTCTTTTGAACCGTTAGAGCCAATAGAATCGAGGGGGAGTTCCTAAATCCATCTACACATTACCAATGAGGATTGAGAGTGATGCGCACGCAGTTTGCCCAAACCGAAAGCTATGTTACACTCTATAAAAAACTACATTTATTTCCATAAATATGATGATTGATTAACCTATGGATTAACCTTCAGCAGCGTTTTTCTCGTTTTAATGTCATTGAACACAACTTTTGATCAGAACAACAGCTAAGGTAAGACGTTTTTAGCCGTTTTGGCTCCGTAAAGCACATTTCTTTGTTGTTGTTTCTTGTAGTTTGGCCGCGAGTTCTGATGATACTTATATGTCTGGAATCTGTGGAATCTCAGCTTGCTAATCGATATCTTTTTTGTGCAGATCCGATAAGTAATAAGGGTATTTTACCTTGAGTTCTGTGCTAAGTGCGTTAGCATTTTTTCGCTCAGGGCTAATTCAGAGCCTTTGTTATTACCCTTTTGTTTCATTTAGCTAAAAATGGTTAATATTGTCTGATAGCTGAGTTTCTTCCCGTTAAGTGGGTATGACACATTCATAGTTTGTTAAATATTAAGAAGCCCTCAGACGCTGTTTCTTGCAAGATGTTGCGTTTTGCCCCGCCCATGGGGCCGTGGGGTTTAAATGGTTAAACCAAAACCAAAGGCCGCATTACACAGAGGAACTCAGATTGTTTTTGTATAAATGTGTACAATGTGTACATTTTTCGGATGAAAGCACAGAAGTCAGCCTCTCAAAATATGTTTGTTAACAAAACAAATAAAATGTGATTATCATTACCATTTAAATGTCTTGTTTGTTACAACAGCTTAACATTTTGAGT